TGAGAGAGGACAGGACCCCCAGAGGGGTCAGCCAGGGAGACTGCAACCGGCCGACCAAGCGGCGTAAGTGTGGTGCAGTCTCGAAAGAAGGAGCGAGAAGCTCCTGAGTCAAGAGTGAAAGTGAGGGGGGCCGAAGCTGACGTAGTACCTGAGAGCGCAGCCTCACCTGTACCTGAGGGCGCAGACGCACTGGCACCTAGAGCAAAAGCCTCACAAGCACCTAGCGCAGCAGTACCAATGCCCGGGTCGGGCGGGAAACACCGGTAACAGTCACCCTCCTCACTAATAGTCACAGCATACATGGCAGCAAGGATAGCATCAAAGTCAAGATCAAAGATAGCTACACCTGCCCTAGACAGCTCTCCCCAGCGGGGAATCTCACTAGCCTTGGGGAACTGCTGACGCCAAGCGTCCGTCAGGCGGCCAAAGCAGCGCTGGGTGGGGTGGGCACCCCCACACTGCTCACCCGCGCGGTCGCCGGAACGAAGGACGTAGGTGCACGGACCAGTACCCCAACCCCTCTGACGCTGCGTGTACCACTCACGGAGCTGTTGGGGCGGAGGGATGTCGCGCGAACGCTGCTGCTGCTGTTGCTGCTGCTGGCGTTGACCACTACCAGCGCCGCTTCGCTGCGGGGCACCACCCCGACCAGCTCCACCTCCTCCGCCAACACCTCCTTCTCCTCCGCCTCCACCGCCGCCGCCACTCCCACCGCTGCCGCCACCACCGCTGCCTCCTCCGCCGCTGCCACCACTACCACCGCCTCCGCCACCACTCCCACCGCCACCCCCACTCCCTCCACCGCCTCCACCGCCATCTCCACCGCCCCCTCCAGCTCCACCCGCGCCCTTGCCCCCCTTGCCCTTGCCAGAGCGGCGTCTCCCGCTAGGGGCAGACGCTGCGCCAACCGACTCAAGACCAAGCAGGTCGGCAGCAGCAGCAGAGGCAACAGAGGGCAGTAGGGGGGAAGGAGAGCACCCCTCAAAGATGGGGGTGCGAGGGTCACCACGAGAGGCTCCTACAGCGACGATGCTCTTCTCCGCCGCTAGGAGGGCCTTCTCGAGGAGGTCGACAGCAAGGGTGGTGGGACAGACTGAGAGAAAGTGGTCACTGACTACGCGAAGGGAGTCAGGGAGGCGTGCGACTACGTAGTAGAGAGTGATGTACATGGGGGGTGGGTTCTTGGCGCAGAACTCAGCAGGAAGGGCGGCGCGGTAGCGAGTGTCACTAGTGCGGAGGTGCGTAATGAGGTCAGCGACAGTGGGAGATGCAGTGAGGTCAGGAAAGAGGTATGGTAGCATGAGACAGCTGAGTGCAGCAGTGGGAGGGGAAGAGTAGCGCGCAACTACAGCGTCGTACAAGGTCTGAGCACTCTTGTACTGACTAAAGTGCGCGCGCTCAGTGGTAGGGAGGTGGCGACGCACAGCAAGACGTGCAGCAGCATCGCGGGTGGCCCACTGAGAGCGAACAGTGGGGTCAGCATCAGCAGAAGGGGCAGGAGAGGCGCCAGACGTGAGGTCAAAGAGAGAGAGACCGTCCGCCATATCGCACTGTAAGAACAGCTGCAGGTCGTTGACCCAGACCTCAAAGTCAATGGCTCGACCCTCAGCGTCAAAAGGTAGGACACTAGGGGTAGCCATGACGACGACAGTGAAGCAGTGCAAGCAGTAGGGAAAGGGCACGCAGTGACAGCGGTACGGTGCTCACCGGGCAGGGCAGGTCGGGCGGCTCGGCAGAAGGGCGGCTCGGCGACTCAGCGACTCGGCTGCTGGGCGGCTCGGCTCCCGGGCGGCTCGGCGGCAGGGTGGCTCGGGTGCAGGGCGGCTCGGCTGCCGGGCGGCTCGGGTGCAGGGCGGCTCGGGCGGGGCGGCTCGGCTGCCGGGCTGCTCAGGGGTTCCGCTGCTCGGCGGTCCGGCGGCTCGGCGGCTGGTGCTGGGCGGCTCGGCTGCTCCGGTACCGGGCGGCGGGGCCGTGAGAGCAGGGGCGACGGGGCTGTGTGTAGGGGTGGCGGTGTCGCGTGAGCAGGGGCGGTGGGGCCGCGAGACCAAGGGTGGCGGGGCCGCGAGATCAGGAGCGGCGGGGCCGCGAGAGCAGGGGCGACGGGGCATCGTGTAGGGGCGGCGGTGTTGCGTACGCAGGGGCGGCGGTGCCACGAGCGGCGGGGCCGCGACCGGCGGGGCCGCGACAGCAGGGGCGGCGGGGCCGCAAGCAGTGGGCGGCGGGGCCACGAGAGTAGAGGCGGCGAGGGCCGCGAGCTGCGGGGCCGCGACAGCAGGGGCGGCGGGGGAGCGAGCAGTGGGTGGTGGGGCCGCGAGAGAATGGGCGGCGAGGGCCGCGAGTGGCGGGGCCGCGACAGCAGGGGCGGCGGGGCCGCGAGCAGTGGGCGGCGGGGCCGCGAGGGCAGACGCGGCGAGGGCCGTTAGCGGCGGGGCCGCGACAGCAGGGGCGGCGGGGCCGCGAGCAATGGGCGGCGGGGCCGCGAGAGCACGGGCGGCGAGGGCCGCAAGCGTAGGGGCGGCGAGGGCCGCGAGTAGTGGGCGGCGGGGCCGCTAGAGTAGGGGCGGCGAGGGCCGCGAGTGGCGGGGCCGCGACAGGAGGGGCGGCGGGGCTGCGAGTTCAGGAGCGGCGGGGCCGCGAGGGCAGGGGCGGCGGGGCCGCGATCGAAAGGCCGGCCGCTAGGGCGGCTCGGTGAGAGGGTGGCCCGAGGCGCGACTCGGGATGAGTGCGCTTCGGGCAGGAAAAAAAAAGATTCGAGTGGTGGGCCCTAGGTGCAATTCCCACAGGGAAACCTGCTCGATACCATGTCGAGAGTTAAACGAGAAAGAGTTAAGATTAAGTAGGGCCTAGGCTTAGTAGCCTAGGCCCAAGTAGGATATCGAGCGGGTTTCACCTAGGGTGAGTATCGAGTGAGTTGGAAGAGAAGTTGGGAGAATGTGTCGCTTCACTATAGTTTCGAAGTACATATAGCAAAGGAAAAACATAAGGTGCACCACCAAACAAAGTTTAAATAACTACACTAACTACAGCTACAGGCAGTTACAAATATAAGTTGTGACACTCCCCCATAACTGCCTGCAGCAGGAGTATGTGCAGAATACAACCTGCAGGTGTACACATGCAAAATAATAAAAAGCAAGCAACAGCAGGTAATGCAGGCGGGCTGACACTAGCTGGTCACCCCCTCCATCTCCTCACCCTCCTCCTTCCCCTCCCCCACACTGCTGCAGAAGCAGCAGAGAAGGGGGGAAGAGAGGAGAGGTGGAGGGACGGCTGCTTGTTGCCTCACACCCGCCACCCCGGTACCACTCCCCCTGCTCCCCCACATCCTCACACCCTCCCCCCCAGCGGCAGCTGCAGCGGTGGGACTGAAAGAAGGAGGAGAGAAAGGGAAAGAGTTGACCCAGCACTCCAACACCCGCCACCCCCATACCCTCCTCCCCACGGCTGCAGGGAGACAAAGGAGGAGGGGGGGGGGGTGGGCGGGAAGAAAGCCGCAGAGCGGCTAAACGATGTCGGCGCAGATAGGTCAGGGGCGGCTTCAGGGAGAACAGGGGCGGAAAGGCCCGTCGCGTGCCACGGGGCGCAACGACGGGTAAGTTAAGAGAAAGGGCCCGATCGTGTGCCACGGGGCGCACGACGAGCAGGGCACCGTCGCGTGCCACGGGGCGCACGACGGGCAGGTAAAGGGCACCGTCGCATGCCACGGGGCGCGCGACGGGCAGAAAAGGCGTCACACGCCAACCGGGGGCGGGACAAGGTAAAAATCGTCACGCGCCCTAGGCGCGCGACCGGAAAATCGTAGCAGCGGAAACGTGAGGCCAGAACGAACGTCGCTCTGATAACATGAGAAGAACTGAACGAGAATGAATGAACTATGAATGAAGTGAGTACAAATAGAAAACCCTAATTGGGTTGTACCCCCTATGGGATACCCCACTATAGCCTACACAACAGTATAAGCTATACAATGTTCTGACAAGAAGCAGGGCGGGCGTTGCGGCTTGAGCGGCATTCGTGCCATAATGGCCTGTTCGCCACTTGTCGCCGCGAATTCCACGTGCCGACGGGCTTCACGGGGCTCCCGCGGGCTTGGTGCGATCCTGCTTCCTCCCATGCCAGGCATCGGTTGGGCGGCGCCATCACTGGCTGCGCCTGAGCGTTGTCCCATGCTGTCGTGTTGCGTTGGTGTGCCGGACGAAATGATGATCGGCTCGTCCGATTTTGCAGATGCATTTGTCGGTGTGTGTGATGTCACTGGAATGTTCACCGTGGATTGTTGACGGGCGGAGTCATGTTCCGCCGTGAGCGTCGCAATTTCGAGCGCCGAATCTTCAAGTTGGCGTACGAGACGATCAAGCTGCTCCTGCGTCAATGTGGCGAGCGTGAAATCGGCCATGACGGGGGTGTCGGGCGAGCTCAGCGAGAGCCTCGGTCGTGGCCGTGCGTGCTTACGAGAGAGAACTACGAGCGGCGGTGCTGTATCGCTGAGAGACGTCTACCCCCCCCAAAAATTGAGATAGTGGGGAAGCGAAAATGTGGGTGCGGTCCGAGAGGAGATCGTAGGCTCTGAATACCAAGTGTTACGAGTGCAATGGAATGATCAAACGAGAATTGCACTATCGAAGCAAAAATACATCGAGCGAAAGTATGAGCGAAGAATATATAGCGAAACTACAGTGGTAACGGTAATGGACTGTGGTTGTTGCGCGACGGGACTGGGACTGAGGTTGGGAAAGTGTCGAAGCGGAGGCCCGGAGCGCGGGTTACCAGCCGAGCCGTGAGGACGAGGTGCGATGTGCGAAAGTGGCAGGCTGATTGTCGACGCGGGGATCGCGAGCGGTAACGGTGCTGATTGTGGTGCTACAGTGATGTACGCGTTGAGCAGGGATGCGAAGTAAGGAAAAGTGATTTTCCTTACCGTACATTCGGTTCGGTAATATAAACCCATACCTTGTTTACATTTGAACAATGTACAACCATAAATGTTCAAATTTCTCCAATCACAGTTCGTCTTTGAAAGAGACCCTCACTCTAAGCACACATGCTAGCTTCTTATCGTTCACATTCAACACCCCTCCAGCCGAAACACCCTTTTTCTCTCCGCCCTCCTCCCCATTCACACAGCCCACTCCATCCATCAGCTCTTTCAGTGGCTTGGAAAGATTCGGCCGAGTTGCCTCTTCGAGCACCGCAGGGGCACGGAGGTAGAGGTTGGATCCATAGAAAGAGACGGACGGTGCTTGCAAGCGGGCGGCAAAACGAGAGTCGGCCAATAGCTGGACGATAAACTGCATGGAGGATACAATGAGCAGTGGGCAAGAAAGGAAAGTAATACACATGCCCTAGTTGCTGGGGATGGCAGCACCTGTTGCAGAAAACAAAAGCTGCCGCAAAGTGTTAGTGAAATGTGGATTTTGTACCGTGCTAGCAACCCAGATAACTACTTGCTGCAGAGTGCAATCAGCCGTGCCAGCACATGCCATGCACACATCACACATACCTGCTGCAGAGTGGCTGTGGAAGGCACGGTCACAGGCACGCCAGCGCTGCACACGAGGCACTCCGGGTCCCTCTCATATGCCACAGTGTGTGAGTACACGCCCTGCGTGCCCACATACCTGAGGGGCGCACAAGTGTGGGGATTGGGACAAGTACGTGGGAGATTCAAGAGTGCATTACTTGATTAAGGGGCTCCAGCGCTGCACATGAGACACTCGGGGTCCCTCTCATATGCGACAGTGTGTGAGTAGACCCCCTGCGTGCCCACGTACCTGTGGGGTGGGGCCCACACATGTAGGGATTCGGATAAGGACAGGGGAGATTCAAGAGTGCTCTATCTTATAAAGGAAGCACGTGGAGTATTTTCCTACAGCACCTTGTTGTTCAGACATAGAATCACGTTTAATTTACAACACCAGGTAACTCATGCATAGAAGCACACTCACTTACATCACACACTCATTGATGCATACAAACACATCCTTTCTCAACACACATTCATGCGTATAAGCACATTCACTTACATCACGTAGTTGTTCATCCCTGCGGAGCACATTGTAGCGATCTTGAGAGTCTCCAGCGCGCACACTGCTGATATGATGGCATTGGTTGATGCTATAGCAGGGATAATGTTCTTCACCACTCCCTGTATCGAATGCACCATGATGGTGTGGCACAAGAGAGGGATAATGGCATGGCATTCATTAGATGTTGGTGATATAGCGGGGATAATGTTCTTCACCACTCTCTGCATTGCATGCAAGGTCATGGTGGTGCGGCAGCAAAGGGAGGTAATTGCAGGGAAATGGGGTGTGTGACGATGGGAGGGGAGACGATGGGAGGGGATGGCAAGAAGTGGAAGAAACAGCTCCGGGTGGGCGTGGAGGGGGGTGGCAATGGCGACGCTGCAGGTTCAGGAAGAGAAGTCAATGGCGCGGAGAGGCGAGGTACAGAGCACAGAGGAGAGGCGGATGGCAGTAGATGTGCATGTGCATGGTGCATGGTGCATGGTGCATGTGCATGGTGCATGGTGCATGGTGCATGGTGCATGTGCATGGTGCATGGTGCATGGTGCATGGCATGGCACACACCTGCGTGAGGGAGAGAGTGACGCCTGTGATGCTGTGCTGCTGGGCGCGAATGAGAGCCTGCCGCGGAGCAGAGAGGAGGTGGGCCGTGCGGCCGGAGGGGAACGAAGGGAAGAAGGGGAGGGGAAGCAGGGGAGGGGAAGCAGGGGAGGGGAAGCAGGGGAGGGGAAGCAGGGGAGGGGAAGCAGGGGAGGCGAAGCAGGGGAGGGGAAGCAGGGGAGGGGAAGCAGGGGAAGGGGAAGCAGGGAGGGGAAGCAGGGGAGGGGAAGCAGGGGAGGGGAAGCAGGGGAGGGGAAGCAGGGGAGGGGAAGCAGGGGAGGGGAAGCAGGGGAGGGGAAGCAGGGGAGGGGAAGCAGGGGAGGGGAAGCAGGGGAGGGGAAGCAGGGGAGGGGAAGCAGGGGAGGGGAAGCAGGGGAGGGGAAGCAGGGGAGGGGAAGCAGGGGAAGGGAAGCAGGGGAGGGGAAGCAGGGGAGGGGAAGCAGGGGAGGGGAAGCAGGGGAGGGGAAGCAGGGGAAGGGAAGCAGGGGAGGGGAAGCAGGGGAGGGGAAGCAGGGGAGGGGAAGCAGGGGAGGGGAAGCAGGGGAGGGGAAGCAGGGGAGGGGAAGCAGGGGAGGGGAAGCAGGGGAGGGGAAGCAGGGGAGGGGAAGCAGGGGAGGGGAAGCAGGGGAAGGAGGGAGCGGAGATTGACATGAGAGAAGCAGCAATAAACATGATAGCGGCATGAGAGGGACACGAATGAAGTACAGGTGGCCTTTGGAAACAGAAAGATGTGGTAAAACAGAAAGATGTGGAAAAACAGAAAGATGTGGTAAAACAGAAAGATGTGGAAAAACAGAAAGATGTGGTAAAACAGAAAGATGTGGTAAAACAGAAAGATGTGGTAAAACAGAAAGATGTGGTAAAACAGAAAGATGTGGTAAAACAGAAAGATGTGGTAAAACAGACAGACGTGGTAAAACAGACAGACGTGGTAGAACAGACAGATGTGGTAAAACAGACAGACGTGGTAAAACAGACAGATGTGGTAAAACAGACAGATGTGGTCAAACATCTGTATCAAAGGACCACTGTATGTGGTCAAACATCTGTATCAGAGGACCACTGTATGTGGTCAAACATCTGCACCTTGTGGTAGATCCACTGTATGTGCTCCAAGTTGTCCGCATCAAAGGACTCTCCTGGCCGCTCCTGGTGGTGATGCAGAGATGAGGAGAGGAGGAGAGGCGAGGCGGGGCAGGAAAAGTAGAGTGAGGTGGTGAATGGAGTAGGGACCGGGAAAAGAAACGAGAAACAGAAAGGGAAACAGACAGAGAAAACGAGAATAAAACAAGCAATCAAAACAAAGTGAGGAGTGTTAAGAGGGGGGAGCAAGTGAGGGAGGGTGAAAGACGGTGCAGAGCGCCAGGCGGAAGTTAATCTCACAATTTCACACGCACAGGCAAAAGCTGATCCGGGGAGAAGAAAAACGAATCCTTCTCCTTTCCCACACCCGTCCGCCTTCCTCCCGGCTGTATGCGGATCTCACCTCCCCTCACAGAAGGAGCTGTGCGCATCAATGTACTGTGTGGGCCAGGCAGCCCCACTCCGCCCCATTTGCTAATCCAATGCACCCCATGCCCTCCTCAGACCCCACCCCTCCGTCTCACCTCGCCCCACTGAATGAGATGAGCATATTCAATGCAGTGTGTGGGCGACCCAGCCCCCCTCTGTTCTATTCGTTAACCCCCCTCCCACCACACCCAACTGAACATGCATCTCAACTCACCTCGCCCCACTGGATGAGGTGCGCGTATTCAATGCAGTGCGCGGGCGAGCGCGGGGTCTCAGCGAGCGTGCAGAGGGGGAACTTGGTCTGGGGGGGGAAGAGCCACAGCGTGCAGTGGAAGCACGGCGTCACCCCCGGGATGATCACCCTCGCGTGCCCCTTAAAGCCCTCAGCAGGCATGGCGGCACGGAAGCGGGCCTCACTAGTACGGAGGTGCGTGATGAGGTCAGCGACTGTGTGGAACGAGGCCAGGTCGGGAAACAGGTAGGGGAGGGAGAGACGGCCTAGCGCGGCAGAGGCAGGTGAGGAGTAGCGAGCAACTACGCCTGTGTACAGTGCCTGTGCAGTCTTGTGCTGACCAAAGTGCTCGCGTTCGTCTATTGGCCCGTGCCGCCGTCCACCATGGGGCGGATGGAGGTTAAGTCCAGCTCGCCTTAAGGAGAGTACTCTGGTGGTGAGGGAGGAGACGAGGAGAGGAGTGAAGGGATGAGGAGAGGAGTGGAGGAGGGGGGGACACTGGGTAGGAAGAAGGATCACTCCGGCATGCCCCTTAAAGCCCTCCGTGCCGCCGTCCACCATGGGGCGGATGGAGGTCAAGTCCAGCTCGCCATCGGGGGGGTACTCTGGTGGTGAGGGGGCGGAGACAGGGGTGGGGCAGGAGGGGTGGAGGAAAGGGGGGTGAGCACCCTCGCATGCCTCTTGAAGCCCTCCGTTCCCCCGAATGGAGGTCAAGTCCAGCTCGCCCTCAGGGGAGTACTCTGGTGGTGGTGAGGGAGTGGGGGAAAGGGGGGGTGTTGGGTAGGGAGAACGATGGTCACCCTCGCATGCCCCTTAAAGCCCTCTGTTCCGCCGTCCACCATGGGGAGGATTGATGACAGGTCTAGCTCGGCCTCAGGCGAGTACTCTGGTGGTAAGGGTGGAGTTGTGGGAGTGAATGGAGAGGAAGAGGAAGGAGGAGGGAGACTTGAAGTAGGGAGAAACATCACCCTCACTCGCATGCCCCTTAAAGACCTCCGTGGCCCAGTCCACCCTCGGCCGGATGGATGTCTGGCCTAACTTGCCATCAGGCGAGTATTCTGGTGGTGGGGAGGGGTGGAGATAGAGAGCAGGAAGGAAGGTACTGGCATGAAAACACTGAAGACCCTTGACCAAGGGCATTGACAGGGTGGGAGGCGCGACCAGCGACATTTGTGAAATGTGAAAAGCTGAAGGAGTGTCATCATGTCATGTCAATGTATACTCTGGTCTCATAGGAGCTAGTATGGTGAGGAATTGGAGCAACTGAATACCCCATGCCATGCCCACGGACGGAGAGTGCACATGGCAATGACAATCTGACAATAAGCTCAAAATTCGTTTGCAATATAGAGAGTTCCTTTCCCGTGCACTTCGCTGCAGCCCTCACCACATTAAGGCATGACAGTGCAACGTGCACTTACCTGCAGACTGCATCTCCATGTGGGTGGCAGTCATCCAACCAAACGACTGCATCTCAAGGCGCGAGATGATTGCAGGCTGCTGCACGTGGGTGGCACTGTGCAGGCAGTCATCATGCAAATCGCTCACCATGCAAGCCACAGACAGACCTGTGTTATCCATCCAAACCTAGGACTCACCTAAAAGGCCACAGACAGGGCGCACCTAGGAAGCCACAGACGAGGCTGTTGATGTAGGAGCGTGCCTCCAGCGAGTCGAGTCCCACCAAGATGATGTTGACGCCTGCTTGGCACTGTGCGCATGCAGTCATCTTGCAAGCATGCAGTGCAATTCATCTAAGTCTAGAGCAAGCGCACCTAGGAAGCCACAGACGAGGCTGTTGATGTAGGAGCGCGCCTCCAGCGAGTCGAGCCCCAACACGATGATGTTGAACTCGCTGAAGAAGGAGGCGGGCTTGTCCTCTATGCGACAGAAGTGAGGGGTCACCTGGTGGGGGTGGGGGTAGGTGGGGGTGGGGCAGGGTGGGGCAGGGTGGGGCAGGGTGGGGAAGGGTGGGGAGGAGGCGGGGGAGGGGGGGGGGTTGCTGAAGAAGAGGCGGGCTTGTCCTCTGTGCGACAGAAGTGCGGTGTCACCTGGTGGAGTGCGGTGGGGAACGAGCGGGTTTAGAGGAGGGAGTGGTGATGTGGAGAATAGTGAGAGGTGTCAGGAAGCGAGTGACGAGTCCAGCCAACACCAACACGATGACGTTGAACTTTTGAGAATTCTCATAAGTCGCACCGAGAACTCTCAAAAGTCGTACCAATACTCGCTGAAGAAGGACGCGGGCTTGTCGTCTATGCGACACAAGTGAGGCGTCACCTGGTGGGGGTGGGGTGGCGTGGGGTGGGGCAGGGTGGGGGTGAGGGAGAGTGGTGCTACATAGAGGGGAATGAGTTTGGGGGTCGGGACAGGAGATAGCGAAAGGGGTGGGAGAAGGGGGTGGTTGAAGAGAGGGGGAATATAGCAGAAAACACGAATTGCAGAAGTGACAAGAACCCCCATTCCCTCTCCTCCGTTTAACTCGGATGACTTTTGAGTCGTCTCAAAAGTCAGCCCATTCCCTCTCCTCCCTTTGACTCGGTTTCCCCCCCCTTCTCACCTTCACCCCGCCCACGCGGCTCATGACTCGCTCTGCTGCCACCACCGCCTTGGGCTTGCCCACATCAGCCGGGCTGCACGGAGGGGTATGGGGCAGAACGAGGGGAAGGAGGGGGCACGTGGGGGTAGGAAGGGGAACAGGGGAAGAGTCAGGGGGGGGCGGGAGGGAAAGCGGGAGAAGACTTTTTGAGTGCCAAATGCTCTGCTGCCACCACGGCCTTGGGCTTGCCCACGTCAGACGGGCTGCACGGAGGCGAGAGGGGGTTGCATGCAGGGGAGAGGGGAGAGGGGAGAGGGGAGAGGGGAGGGAAAGACTTGCCGATTGTCACTCGCTCTGCGGCCACCACGGCCTTGGGCTTGCCCACGCCATGCTCTGCTGTTCAAACACTGTAGCAGTCCCTACACTGCAGAAGCACTGTTCATACAATATAGCAGCACTGCAGCGTACCGAAACAGGAACTGTCTGCTGAGTTTAGAGACATCAATGGTATCCATGTCAATCACGTCTATGCTCCCACACCCCACCGAGTACATGCACTGTAGCATCAGCACTGCATCTCACCAGAAGAGGAATTGGCGGTTGAGGTTGTAGACATCGATGGTATCCATGTCAATCACGTCTATGCTGCCACACCCCACCGAGTACATGCACTGTAGCAGGACTGTTTCTGCGCTGTAGTGGCACTGTAGTGGCACTGTAGTGGCACTGTAACCCACCGGAAGAGGAACTGGCGGTTAAGGTTGGAGACGTCGATGGTGTCCATGTCAATCACGTCGATGCTGCCAAACCCCGACAGCACCAGGTCCTTGAGCAGCTCTGTTCGTACACAGTAGCAGTACTTTGTGTGCACTGTGTATGTAGTGTATCAACTCACCGGAACAGAAACTGCCTATTAAGGTTTGACACATCGATAGTGTCCATGTCAATCACGTCTATGCTGCCAAACCCCGACAGCACCAGGTCCTTTAGCAGCTCACAGCCCAGCCCGCCTGCTCCCACCACCAGCACTCGGCAGTCCTCCTTCAAGAAGTCGCGGATCTGGTTGAATGGACATGGTGGGGAAGGGGTGGCGAGGAGGAGGGCGGGGCAGGTGAGAGGTGGGAACGGGGTGGTACGGAGAAAAGGGTGGGTCACAGCAGGTGTTTGAGCAGCTCGCAGCCCAGCCCACCCGCTCCCACCACCAGCACTCAGCAGTCCGACTTCAAGAATTCGCGAATCTGGTTGGTTTGATGGGGTGGTGGAAGGGTGGGGAAGGGGTGGGAAGGAGGAGGAGGGGAATCACAGCAGGTGTTCGAATAGCAGCTCGCAGCCCAGCACGCCCGCGCCCACCAGCACACGGCAGGTGGGAGGTGGGAACGGGGTGAAACGGAGATTCGGAGCATAGGGCAGGTGGGAGGGTGGGGAAAAGGGGAGAGTGGGAAAAGGAGGAGAATGGGGAAGAGTGCGGCATGTTGGTGGGGCACTGGGATCGTTCCCCAGTAGAGTGCGGGAGGACTACAGGTGCGCTACCTACCCACCATACAAACATGCCCTTTTAACCCAGGCGGTAGCACGCTGGGCCAACACGGCAAGCATGAGAGTTAGGAAACGGAGGGAACGGGACGGAGGAGAAAGAGCCGCTAAAGGACCCATAACCGCGCCCAGACCAGAAGCACACTCCTAGGAGAGCACACGGCACTCACACTCACTTGAGTGAGTCACGAATGCGGCTGGTAGGTGTGGGGCAGGAGGAGGAAGGGGTGGGATGCCACTTGTGCGAGCAGGCGACAGAAGACGAGGGTGGGGAAGGAGAGCGACGCGCATGACAGCAGGGCCTGCAGCACAGCACCGTGCAATCCAGCCCGCCTGATCCCACCCCGCACCATGATACACAGGCGGCGTGGATACAGGGCCCACTGCCTGCCTGCTGCAGCGCCTGCCGCACAGCACTGTGTATCCTCCTGCCAGCCATGGGTAATGATGCGACACGCATGCCTGGCAGGAGGATACACCGGACGGGCTAAATGCTTAGGGGACCTAGGGTCGTGTGACAAGCTGGTTTCTCAAGCGCAGCGCTGCTTATGGATCTGAAACGAGTCCGTCAATATCGCGTACGGAAGTACCTCCGGCGAGGGTTCGAACCCAGGGCCGACGAGCATCCCTGGTCGCAGCAACAGACGGTCCAGATCGCGCCATTGCCCCTCCAGCTCCATCGCTGCGCCCTCCGCTGCAATCGCAGCCGTTCGTCGAGGCGACGATCAACGCGCCGGAAGTACCTAAAGCGGCGCGAATGCTCCCCGGGAACTGCTGTTCTGCGCCGCGCGTCGTGGAGCCGTCGATCAACGCGACTGTCTCCGATCGACGGCTCTACTTCACCAAGGCGAGCGAGTGAGTGTGGTTTCGAGGGTCGCTGAGTGCTCCGCGCGTCGCGTCGCCGATTGACGGGAATTGGAAACGTACATAACCATAAGTCGTTTCAGAAAGAGAGAAGGTTGCCAAGGCTGGGATTGTTGCAGCACGCAGAATGAGGGCGAGGAAGGTGAAGCTCCAACGGAAAAGCGGTACTGGTGGGTGGCACGGCTAAACAGGGCGATTTCACTGAGTTGGATGCTCAAGGCCATTGTGTGATAATATATGTACTACCGTAAAGTGCCACCTATAGGACCCGCCGGTAAGAGGGTCCCCCGGGACTCTTGAATGGGTAGGGGGACTCTTATTGTGGCAGGTTTTGTGAGGACCCCCGTGTGTAGCTAATCATTATAAGACCCCCCCCTTTCCATATAAGGCCCTATTGAGTTTGGTGCAGTTAACATTGTTATCGTTGTTACCTACTGTACTACATACACACCTCAACACCTAGTGGTCACTACAACTATGGCTTGGTCATGTTAGATTCCATCAAGCACTTAGCGTTCGCGTCCTCCTCCAGCCCACCCTCCGCCTCCTCTTCCTCGTCATCCACATCGTCGTCGTCGTCGTCGTCGTCGTCGTCGTCGTCCTCGTCCTCCTCCTCCTCCTCCTCCTCCTCCTCCTCCTCCTCCTCCTCCTCCTCCTCCTCCTCCTCCTCCTCCTCCTCCTCCTCCTCCTCCTCCTCCTCTAGGTCCCCGGCATCCTCAGCATCCGCAACCTTTGCCGCCTCCTCATCCTCCGCGGCTGTGGCGAACAGTGGGTTCACCCACTCCTCCACCTCAGGGGCGACGTGCACGTCTTGTGCCACCTCGACCTCGCCCGCATCACGCATGTGGGCCAGGACGAGGTGATCTTGCTTCCCATCGACCGAGTTGCTGATGCCTGTCGTGAGAAACGCCTTCTTAATAATGTGCTCGGGGACGCCCGCCCAAGCACTCGCAATCCACTTGAGGACCGTCTCTGCTGGCGGCTTCTTCAGGTTGCCTGCCATGTAAACAGGAAAGAACAGGCACGGGGCGCACACGGGGAGTTATCATAAAGCCAACAACCAGCTACAAACACGCCACAAGGCGAGGTACTAAGCACGGCACCGAAACTCACCGGCTTTCGTGAATGTGTTGACGCCAAACTCGGCAAACCAGTCATTGTAGAGCTGACGGAGCAGTGCCTTGAATGAGCGATTAACGCTCACATCAAGGGGCTGTAGCAGTGGGGTGCAGCCCCCGGGAATTATTGCCGGAATTACCCGGTTCCACTTCATGTTGGTGAGAACGCCGTCGGTGAGGTGGCCCCGGTACGAGTCCACGACAAGAAGCATCTTGGAACGCCGGATGCCACGCGGAGGCTTGATGAACGGCAGCAGAACGTTATTCACCCAATCATCCACTAGCTTTGCATCCATCCAGCCTTTCGCCTGCGCACGAACAACGACTCCTGCAAAGAAAACAACGCACGTGGTTAGAAATCCGCCACGAAGAGAGACTACCGTGATGGTTACAACTCTAGCAACTCACCTGCAGGGACCCGAATTTTCGGGATCGTTTTGCGCTTGAAGATAACCATGGCGGGGAGCTTGCGCCCGTCCGCAGTGATCCCGAGCATGACAGTCACCCTGTCCTTCTCGTAGCCTGCGCTTCTGACGTGCACCGTCTTCTCTCCGCGGTGATGCAGGGTGCGCTCGTGCGGCATCTCCAGGAAAACGGGCGTCTGGTCGGCGTTTATAATGTTCCATGCGTCTATGCCATGCTTGATTATGTTCCTCCTCGTGAACGCCCAGAACTTCTCACACTTCTGCCTGCACTCTGCCTCGGACGCGGACAAGGCGGGAGAAGGACATTAGTGACGGCGGCGGGTTAAGCATTAGTGTTACATGTCGCCAAGCAAACTATACAAGCACACACACGGAGGGAAGCACAAGATAACTCACCCGATGCCATACGGTGACCCATCTTCGTCTTCACGCGGATGGAGAGGCCCAAATGCTGGCGGAAGCGAAAGGTCCACCTGTTGGACGCCATCCACCTCACATCAGGGTAATGCGCCTTCATGTAACACCGGCTCCAGTGCTTGAGGAGACGAATAGGCACGGCCAAGGCACGTCCGCGGAAGTTCAGGAGCCGCTTGTAGGTATGCGCCTCCATGTCGGGATATTTCGCCTTTCTCCCTCCACCACTAAGTCGGCGCCTGGACGGTGCCACCTTCTTAATCCGATCCGCCGCCCTTATCCACCGGCGGACGCTGACAGGCTGCACCCCGGCGAGACGTGCAGTGGCGCGGACAGAGAGCTTCTCATCGTCCATCCGCGCGAGCCATTCCTGCTTCTCACCCATGGTTCGCGCAGTGCGACGGTGGTTAGTCTTGCGGGCGCTGTGAAATGCTGGAGCACCGTCAACGTTGGAGCGAGGCCCGTTTTCGTTGTGGATCAAGTCATCCGGAAACGTAGGGATCGGGAAATCCCCGACGTCGTCTTCCATGTTCTCGTTCTCGGCATTCGTCTCGTTCTCACCGTCCTCAGCGACGTGTTTAGGAAACCCCTCCTCCTCGAGCGGGTCCAAAGGAGGAGTGGTGCGCCAGTCAGCGAAGCCCGGGGGAAGCACAGGGGGCGCAGGTGGCGCCGGAGGCGCAGGGGGTGCCGGAGGTGCGGGAGGAGCTGGAGGAGCTGGCGGGGCTGGGCTTGTGATCAGTATGATTGGGCGCTGGCCAGACCCACTTCCTACCGCCATACTGCGAGAACGCCATGGGCTTTCGAAAGCCGACATGGCGAAGAGCTGATACACTTATAAGGACCTATGGTTCACTAAATGGCAGACGCCATGGCGGGCTATTTAAATGGGTAGGAAGCTAGCCGGGCGGACAAGATCTGAAACAGAGGGAGGGAGGGGATGAAAGCTTGCGTGTACGGTAGAGTGAGGGACGTGAAACTCTAGTGCTTCACGTCCAGTACCCATTCTGCCACAAAGACATGATGGGGTGGTCAAGGGCCACCTGACGTGCCCATCTTAACGGAAACACCGTCGAGAGGATGTGAGGTGCGGGGCAAACGCCGTTCAGTCCGCCCCGTGCTCTGATTTTCGCCGCGTGTCATTCCCGATGATGCGCACGTGGGGCACCAAGCTAAAGATTCTCGCGCGAAAAATATAAGACACCCCCCCCCCCCCCCCCCCCCTACCGAGCTTGTACATGGTAAATCCATTAATGTTAATAGACAAATAAGTGTACCCCGGTTCTTAAAAATTTGCAACCGCCATAATGTCCACCCTAGCATTTTTTCCAGCATTTGTAGAGAGTCCCCCGGGTCCTATAGGTGGCACTTTACGGTACCTGCCTCACTGTTTCTATATAGCAGAGTGAGGTGTGTTTCAGCAAAATTAACACAAGTGGGTGTGTACAGGGCCTCAGATTTCAGGAATTTTACCCTTATTTCCTGATGTTTTACCCCAGTTTTTTATTGTGACCTTGATCTATCAGCCTTTTTATTTTTACAACCCTGATGATTCAGTGTTTTTTGTTTTTAAAGACTGATTTTCCAGTGTTTCCTGTTTGACGACACTGACGAGTCAGTGTTGTATTGGAGACGACCCTGAAACCGAAAACTCCGTGATTCTCGCTGTTTTGCGCACCGTCATCATTCATGTACCCACCCTGCACCGACGCCACCCAGCTGCTCACCGAGATACAGATGAACGGGGTAATTTTGGGCATTGTTGGCAAAACGACGCAAAGAGATTGGCTGTCCAAGCTGATTCAATGTACCGTTGTCACTGAGGATAACCAACACTTGTCATTTCTGGCCTTGGATGCACACAAACACGCCTAGCGGCCCAGTGGGCTAGTGGTAAGCCTTGTCCTTTTCACCAAGCTAGGGCGTGCTGGGGCAGTCCGCTCAGCCACCCCATGCAGGGGGTCTCGTGATTCTCTCATTAGCTCTCCAGACTCCATCCCTTTCGGAAACATCCCTCTCTGCTTTCTCTCTGAAACCATCTCGGCAGGCTCTCTCTTTCTCTCTCTCTCTCTCTCTCTCTCTCTCTCTCTCTCTCTCTCTCTCTCTCTCTCTCTCTCTCTCTCCTCTCTCTCTCTCTCTCTCTCCCTCTCTCCCTCTCTAGATACTACTCTGCAATTCAGGAAGTTGGCATGAACGCGCCATGGTGATCATCGGTGAGAACAGCACCGGTGATGATGACGACGATGCCCTTCACGCCGCCACAGAGATGCGGGAGGCCAAAACAGGACTAGATTTTCTAGTCTCCGTGCTCTCGCATGAAAAAGAGAAGCAAGCTTCCTTCACTTCAGGAGCATACACTGGTGACGCGTCTGACCTCTACCGCGGCGACGATCGCCCCCAGCCCGCGCATACTGCTAAGCCGGTCGTGGCGTAAGCAGCTGGCCCGAGCGTCCGCTTGCCAGCTGCTGGTCGTCATCAAAGCATCCGCCTCGTTACAAGCAGGCCGTGCTCCGCTGGGTTGATCCAACAGCTCCTGACCATCCTCTCGCTGATGCGGGCAAGTCGGTAAATGACGTTACGGCCATTCCATCCAAGTAAAAAAAAACAGTCACTAACCACTTTGATTTACGAGGATGCGTTGGACTCGTTCAAGTCCACGTGGTCGACAGACTACCCATGGCTCGTACCCATCAAAACCACTTCTGGCATGCCTGTGTTCAAGTGCACATTGTGCATGGACTTTGTAGGTGACGGTGGCAAGTGTGGCAAGAGTGGGCACGGTGCAACCGATCTTCAGACCCAAGCCTTCAAGCGGCATGCCGCGATGAAGAAGCAGAAGAAGAAGATGCTAGCTCAGGCTAGGAAGCAGCCGCGGATTGACCAGCATCCGCTCGCCAAGGATGACGAGACGAACCGCGTCATCGCCCTCCTAAACTCCCTTCACTTCACAACCCAGGACCACCTGCCGATGGAGACGTGGGTGAGCCTCGTTCGGTACATAGCTAAGAACGAAGTGCGTGGCTTCCCCAAAAAGGGATACGTCACTTATTACACAACGTAAGTTCTTGGTATTCCATCCGCGCATGCAGTGAAGAGCCTCTCATGTTAACAACCACATAACCGTAATAAATGTTTCCTGTGTCTCTGCAGGTATGGCTTCGGGGAACTCATACAGGCAACGGCAGTGTGGCTGCAGACCACACAACTGGAGCAAATTCTCACAAGCCATTACATCGGCCTCAGCTGTGACGAGTTTACGGACAGATGCCGTGGGAAGCATCTCATCATCTACGCCACATTCATCCGCGATGGGGCAGTAGTCACTAAGTTTTTCGCCCTGCTAAGCGTAGACAAGGCAGACGCCGCCTTGCTGGTGGGGTTGCTCTTATCCCATGTCAATGCCGTCGGCATTAACCTGCGCCGAATCATGGGCATCAGCACCGACGGAGCGAGCGTGATGGTCGGATTCAAAAACGCGCTGGTGTCGAGGCTGAGGACGCGCATACCGCATCTGGTTTCCTGCCACTGCATCGCTCACATGTATGAGGGTTGATGCGCTTTCCCCTGAGTTTTAGTTATCTGCAAGAAGTTTTCTACCTTCTACTTACCCTAATGCGTCTATTGCTTATGTTAATCGCAGGGAAGCGCTCGCGGCCAAGGACGCGGCAGAGTCCCTTCCGGAGTTTGGCATGGTCGACAGCTTCATCCGCTGGCTCTCCACCTACCTCAGCTCATTTGGACCCAGGCACCAGCGGTTCCTGGACATGCAGGAAGTCTTCACTCAGACTATCCTGGAGCTCCAAGGAATCAATGATGTGCGTTGGCTATTGCGCGGAGATGCAGTCGGGTGAATTCTTGCAGTCCTGCCAGGTGTCGTTGTGATGGTGCACGAGCTGGGAAACAAGCCCATATACCAAATGGTAACAAGCTACAGATTCCAATTCATGCTGCGCTTCCTCGCTGACGTGCTGCAACAACTGAACTTGCTCAGCAAGACGTTCTAGCATCGACAGGTGAGATTCTGCTTTTGCCGTGATTCCCACAACACTGCACATTTATGTGTGCAAGCACCGGCCACGAAGACTCTGACGCATGCGCCTCTGGCTCATGTTTGTTTTGTTATATGATTGATACTTTGCCTTTTTTTTTTCCTACTATTTTGTGTGGCAGATCGACCCGCTGGCGGTTCAAGGCCAGGATCCGTCGCACGACAACCCACATCAACAGCCGTTATATGGATTATAGCGACGAACTTCGGAGGCAGGCCTAAGCGAGAAGCTGTCGCCCTTCATTGCACGACATGGACCGAACGGGGTGCGGAGAGTTGAGGTCGAGTGGGTTGACTCTGAAGGACGCCCCACTTCTCACGGTTACATCCTGCATGATTCTCCCCCTTGAAGGCCACACCCTTTGCAGGGACCCATGACCGATGCGTGGACCAGTGCACGGCGATGGCGGAGTCCCTCGTGCATCACTTGGATGAGCGGCTAGGTTCTCTCGACAAGCTGAGCGGTGTGAAGCTGTTCATGCATGACGAGTGGCCCCATGGATGGCAGGAGTGATCCATGGTCTGCACGGAGCACCTCGAGTCACTGGCAACGCTCTTCAAGGGCCCAAGAGTGCGATGAGGATCGTTCCAGGTTCGTGCTGCCTTACGAGCTGTGGCATCGTTCTTTGTGCTGTTCACGATTGTGTAGCAACAGAACTCTGGCACCACTTGTGTGCAGAGCCTCGCTTACTTCGATTATTCCTTGTGCATGCGCACTCCTTGGACTGGCAAGAGTCAACAAGCAGAAGGCGTTCAAAGAGCTGCGCTCAGTTCTGCACGGTTCTCGCTAGAGCTCCGAAGTCCAAGAGGAAGTTCTACCCGGGTCTCTCGGCCATGTTGAAGTCTCCCAACTGGGAGGACGCATACCCCATCTGGTGAAGATGTGGGTGGTTGTCGGCTGTGCTAGTGTTAAGCACAGTCAAGAACATTATCAAGAGTTGGCTGAGGGGTTGCCATCAAGGATGTGCGGCGTGTCGGACCTCATATGCATGGCATTGCTGCCGTACGAGCCCGTTTGGGTGCATGTGGTGAAGATCTGGAGGGCGTACAAGAAGCGCAAACCCATCACAACAATGGCAGCACCAAAGAAGCAACCAAGTGCTAAGGGGAAAGAGAGGGTGGACGAGGATGATGCTGGTGCTGGCTCTGGGTGGGGGACAGAGACCCCCATGCACGTATCTATGAGCGATGGTGCTAGTGACGATGATGTTATGCTGTGCATAGAAGTTCACTAGAACAAAATGTAACTTTCTAAAAGTTAATATAATAGTGGTTGTAGATTCACTGATCAGTGTTTTTTGAAAACGCACCCTGTTTGATTAGTGTTTCTTTTCCAAGAACCTTGAGGAATCAGTGTTTCTCCACAGGCAACCCTGATAACCAGTGTTACACCTCCAAGGGACCGTGAGTGCTCAGGGTCAACATAAACGAATCTGAGGCCCTGGGTGTGTTTATCTTGTCCTGAAGTGGCTAAAGCATCTGAAGATTCAACAAGCAGTGCATTCACTTCACGTGTAATGGCCGGTTTGTTGTAACTTTTACGTGCCCTGATGCTCCCTGGACCCTGGGTGTCAACAACATGTGTTGTCAGCAACCCCTTCAAACTGTTGTGGTATGTGCCATGAATCTCAGAAAGGGTTTGCCAATGGCTCAACCATTAGGTGCATGCCGAAACTCGCCCGCAGAGCGACAGCGCTGATGAGGGGAGTGCTTGTAGGCGGGGGAGAGGCGCCATGAGAACTGCCTGAGGATGTGCGCCAGCACCACCTTTGTTTCTGTGAGGGCAAAGTTGTTGCCGATGCAGATACGCGGGCCCGAACCAAAGGGTAGGAATGCTTGAGGGTGAGAACATGCTTCATCTGTCCCTTGTGGCATGGGTGGGGTTTGAGGAAGGGTATGAGGGAGAAGGGGCAAAAGGGGAACGTGGTATAATGAGTGTAAGCCACAATGACTTGAAGTTATGTGGAAGAGGAATATCACGGGAAAGAACAGGGAAGGGGAAACAAGAGGAGAAAAGGGCATAGGCATGCAGACAAGAGTTGCGAAGAAACAAGTGGGGAGAAACAACAAAACGGATGCGGAAGGAGGAAGACAAGGCACGGGCAACAAACGAGACTGGCTCGCGAAGCGATAGAGGTTGAAGTCTAGGGCATGCGGGCCCCAGAAGCGATTGCAAGACGGCAAAGGAGAAAAATAAGAAGGCAAAGAATTGGGCAACGATGAGGGCACGGAAATAGACTGACTAGAGAAGCGGTCGGGGTTGAAGTGGAGGGCTTGAGGGCCCCAGTAGCGCGGGGTCATAGTGCAAGAGAGCAACTGGTATCAGCACGTTCACACCCTGCGGTCGTCGTACGGGCCCAGCCTTACTACCTGGAGAGGGTGCGGAGGAGAGAGAAAGCAGGAGAGGGTGAGGAGGAGGGGGTGAGGGGAAGAGAGTGAGTGGGTGGACGATGAGGCTGAGAGCTGCAGAAAGACGGAACTAGAATAAGCCCCCTCCAACCATCTGAACCCCCCCCCCTCCCCCCCAAGTAACAAACACACCGGTGCCATTCGGAACCCGCGGCCCATGTGTACCTGCTGGCACGTGTGGCCCATGTGTACCTGCTAGCACGTGCAGCCCAGGAAGGGGACGGGGGGGGGGGGGGAACATGCGCAGGCTCTCTTGCAGCACCATGCCCATGCCCCTCAGTGCCCTCTCTCTACACCACTTTCCCGTACATTTGACCCCTCCCCAACCCCACATGTGTGCATTTGACCCTGAAAGTGTGTACCTGCTGGCATGTGCGGCCTAGGAAGGGGACGGGGGGGGAACATGCGCAGGCTCTCCTGCAACACCATGCCCATGCCCTTTAGTGCCGCCACCACCTCCTATGTCACCCGCCCCCCCTCCTCCTCTCTCGCCTTCCCCTCGCGCTCCTCCTTCTCACTCTCCTTCCTCCTGTCCTCCCTCCTGTCCCTCCCCCAATCCCTCCCCTCCAGACCCCCCTTGGCTTCTCCCTTCGTGGTTTCCTCCACCTGCCTCTGACCCTGCCTTGTCTGGTGCTCCTTCTTCCGTGCTGGCGGTGGGGACTGCTGACGTGGCCTGTGCCCCCCTGCTGAGTTAGCGCCTGCTTGAGCTCTGCTCGCAGCCGCTCGTGCCAGTCGGGATGCTTCGCCAGAAGATAGAACGTCCACGTCAGCAGGTGCGCCGTGGTGCTGTGGCCTGCCGGTAGGGGACGAGGGGGAGAGGGGCACAGAGGAAGATAGGAGGCGACAAGGGAGGAAGATGGGAGGCGATAAGGGAGGGGGCGGCAGAAGGAAGATGGGCATTGGTGAAACAGGAAGGGGAGGTGTGACGATGCACAGAAAGGAGGTAATGCAGAGAAGATGGTTGATGTCTCGAGTGTCGTAGGAGGGGAGGGCGGAGGGGGGCGGGGGAAAGGAGGGTAGCAGGGAAGCAGAGGGGCTGAGAAGAATGGAACGGGAAGTGGAGTAAGAGTGGATGTGGGCTTGGGAAGGGGTGGGGAAGGGAAGAGAAGGGAGGGGAGAAGGTACAGCGGGGTGGGGCAGTACCAGCGAGGAGAAACGGGAGGCATGTGTAGTAAAGAGACGAATATTGAAACAAACATTGAGACGTTTTGAGAGACGCGACGGCATTCGTTGCTTCACGCCGACTTGAAAGTGTGTTTGAATCAACTCGATTGAGAGCATGAAGTCAGAACGAGCATACCAGCAAGGAGGAAGGTGATGCACTCGTCCATGCGCTGCTGATCCGACATCTGCTCGTGCTTTCGGTCAACCTATAAGTAAATTTAACTCGACTTGTAAGTCATTTTGAGTCGACTCAAAAGGAGCATACCGTCGAGGAGGAATGTAATTCACTCGTCCATGAGCTGCTGATCCATCATTTTCTCGTTGCTTGCCTCCTCATGTGCTGCCAGCATGAGTGCCAGCAGATCCCGTGCACCCCGCCCTGCTGGCCCCCCCTGCTGCTCTCCATGTGCTTCCTCCGCCAGCCCTGCTGCTCTCCATGTGCCCGCCCGCCCTGCTGCCCCCCCTGCTGCTCCCCATGTGCTTCCTCTGCCCGCCTTGCTGCCCCCCCCTGCTGCTCTCCATGTGCTTCCTCCGCCTGTATTGCTGCCCAACCCCTGCTGCTCTCCATATGCTTCCTCCGCCCTCCCTGCTGCCCCCCACTGCTGCTCTCCATGTGCTTCCTCCGCCCGCCTTGCTGCCCCCCCCTGCTGCTCTCCATGTGCTTCCTCCGCCCGCCCTGCTGTCCCCCCCTGCTACTCTCCATGTGCCTATCGCCATGCACTGCTGCTGCTGCTGCCCGCGCTGCTGTCCCCCCCCTGCTGCTGCCTACGTGCCTCCTCGCCATGCACTGCTGCTGCTGCTGCCCGCTCTGCTGTCCCCCCCTGCTGCTGCCCACGTGCCTCCTCGCCATGCACTGCTGCTGCTGCTGCCCACCCTGCTGTTCCCCCCTGCTGCTCTCCATGTGCCTCCTCTGCATGCACTGCTGCTGCTGCCCACCTCTTGCCTATCAGGTGCAAGGTCAGGTTGCGGATGCTCTTTTCTGCTGCCCAAAGGGCAAAGTTTTCCGGAATTGGCAAGATGCTGCAATGGGGGGATAACAAGAGTACGGAAAGGGAACCAGGCAGTATATTTATCCTCCCATATCAACAATACATGCAGAGATAAGATAGGGGATGGAATCAGTGCCTAGACATTTCCCAGTAAATAGACCCAACTCGGTACAGAAAGGAATCCACTCTTTCCAAATGTTTTTTTCGAAGAAAGGGAATGCACGACAAACACACACGACAGACACACACCTTGATAGTTGATGAACAGAAAGCGGGGTTGATGATCTGGTGCTGCCGGGCCCACAGAGATGCCTCTGAGAGAGGCAGACCATTTTCTAGCAGCCATGCTCCTATGTGTCTCCTATAATCTTGCACCAGACAATCACCGGGCCACAAGCCTCACCTTGATCGCTGCAGGGCGGAAGGCGGGGTTGATGATGCGGCGCTGGCGGGCCCACAGAGACCCCTCTGAGAGAGGCAGACTATTACCCATCAGCCATATTATCTTGCGTGCGCTTGCTGTCTTGGTGACTCGCCCGCTGCTCGATAGGAGCACCTGCCAGGGACGAGACAGGTGGATGGATCATGGATGGATGCTCGAGTAGCCTCAGCACCTTGCGTGCCCTTGCTGTCTTGGTGTACCGCTCACTGCTTGCTAGCAGCACATGCCAGAGACGAGACATGTGGATGGATCGTGGATGGATGCCCGAGCGGCCTCAGCACCTTGCGTGCCCTTGCGATCTTGGTATACCGCTCGCTGCTTGCTAGCAACACTTGCCAGAGACGAGACAGGTGGATGGAGGAAGACAGAGAGGACAATTGAGAGCTGTAAGGAGGGCAAAGGGGAGTGGGGAGATGAAGGGAAGGGATAGATGAGAGAAAGTGACGTGGGGAGGGGAAAACATGGACGGAAAAGGGAAGGTGAGAAGAGAGGGGACGTGAGTGGTGGACCCAGGAGCACTGTCTCTTGATTGTGTTCTGCATGCATCTCATGCAATCACATCTCATGCAATCACATCTCATGCAACCATCTAATGCAATCACATCACATCACATCACATCACATCGCATCGCATCACGTCAGGCAAATCACATCATATCAAACCATAGCATCGCCACATGACTGTACCTGTCTCACTAGTGCAGTGTCTGTTACCACCAGTTGCACCATTGCCCCTACAGTGAATCCAAACACGTCCCCATACTGCTCGCGCCACTGGTGCAGCTTCGGAAGCAACACAGCAAGGCCGTGGGTGGAGGGGGGGGAGTCGGGGGAGGGGGGGGGGGCGGAGGTGCAGAGATTTATAGTTTTCGGGATGGCGGGGCACGAAAACGTGGGCACGGGAATCTCGTCACGAAATGGACACTAGGAGTTGAGGCAGGAAATTGTGTTGGCTTGCCTTGTAAAAATTCTATAAGTGTTGAGAGCAAGCTTGAACATAGCTTCACTATGGAAAAGAAAACAATAGAGTACAATGGGAAGGACCAGAACCATATAGAAACGAAGCGACGATAGTCGCGAACGTTCACGCAGAACGTTCCGACAACTACTCCAGCATGTGCGTTGCCAAGTCAGCAACGGCATGTGAAATTAACATGCCAGGTAAATTTATACCTATCTAGAAGTAGTTGTTCATGTTTCTGCAGTATTTGCAGTTACACATGCTTCGCTTGTGCAATATAGTCACTTCCTTTGATTCTGTCCGTTTTTTGTGTTGTGGCTACCAAGTGTACTACGCGAATATTCCCTCCCAAAGTCATGACTTGGTCCAATTTCGCAGCGTCCAACCTTCCGCGCCTCCTCCCGTTCGTAACCCGCGGGAAATACCGCAACGGTGATCTAACGCGAATCCTCCCGAAGGCACAAAAACTTCGCCCCAGCACAAACACGAAACCTCAAGCCCGCGCAGACGCGAACCCAGAATGCAGTGCAAACATTTTGGCAGCTGCAGGATGCGCTCTACTGCGCGGATACATTTCGCTCAGAGCCCTCACGCACGAATACAGGCTCCTGTAGGGCCTTTCGCGTCAACACTCCCCTGCCCTGCTCGTGTCTGGGCAATTGAGGAGTTAGCACACGAAATAAAGCGAAAAGCTAACTGTGAGAGTACGGAGCTTATGCTGGCTTTGCTAGTGTGAAGAAACAAGAAAAAATGAACTAGCACAAGGTTGGGTACAAGTAGGAAACCCTAGGAAACTGTACCCCATAGTGTCTACCCCACTATAGCCTAGACAAGCTATATAATATGAGTTTGACACACCCCCATAGGCAAAGTGGGGGAGAACAAGAGGTCAGAAGAGCAGTCAAGCAAAGCAAAGCAAACTCAGGGTGGATCACAACGTCACCACACAATCCAAGCACAAGAGCAATGCCACAAAGGCCAGTTCACATGCAATATCATATAAAAAAGGTAACCAAGCAAGGGCAGGTATAGAAAGATCACAGTACAAGCAAGGTCAAGAAGTGAGCAAGTGAGGCCAGGTAGGCACAAGACCTAGCATAGTACAAACGCGCTGAGGATCACCAGGCGGAAGTGCCTTGGTAAAGATATCAGCAGTGTTGGCCTCAGAGGCCACGTAAGCAAGGCGCAGGTGACCACGCTACTGCAGCTCAGGAGAAAGGAAGTAGCAGAGAGCAATGTGCTTCGTTCTGTGCTCCAGTCTGTGCTCCCGACACAAGGCCAGCATGGCCTTGTTGTCTACGTACAGAACTGGAGGAGAACGAGGCGGCTCTCCTAGGTCAGTCAGCAGGTAGGTGAGCCAGCGTAGTCATGGCCAGCCATGGCCCCCGCGTAGATCTCAGCCTCACAACTGGAGCCGAGAACAGAAGACGAGCAGGTAGACCGCCACGAAACAGAGCCAGAGCCAAGGCTGAAGGTGTAACCCTGTGACGACCGCTGCGTAGCCTGGTCGTCAGCCCAAGAAGCGTCTGCGTGACCTCTGAGGACCACTCGACGTCGTCCTCCAAGCACTAGCCCCATGCCCGACGTACTGCACAAGTAGCGCAACACCCTCTTCGCTGCAGCCATGTGCTCTGGTCGGTGTCTCCCAGGAGCAACATAGCGTGCCAAGATGCTAAGAGGGTATGCAAGGTCAGGTCGTGTGCAGGTCATCAGGTACATGAGGCAGCCAACAAGCTCTGGGTACGGGCCACTCGACTCTACGGACTCATCCGAAGGCAGAGCTGAGAGCGAGTGGCGAGTAGACAGAGGAGTGGCCTGAGGCGAGGAGTACGTGAAGTCGAAGCGCTGAAGGACCTGCTGCACCATGAGTGACTAAGCCTGGGTAATGGTGCGCTGTGCTCTGTCCCGGGTGATCTGCAAGCCAAGGTAGATGCAAAGTTCAACCAGGTCTGCGCACGTGTGTCTCTTCTGCAGCTCGGACTTCACGTGGGGGAGTCCAGCAGTGTCAGCAGTGGCAAAGACCAAGTCTGCGACATACACGAGGATGTAGAACGACGGCAGAGAGGTGTCAGTGCGCAGAAACAGCGACGGGTCGGCTGTAGAAGGAGCAAACCCAAGAGCTGCAAGTGTAGTCCTCAGTATGACGTGCCACTCACGGGGCGCCTCGCATAGACCGTAGACTGGCCGCCGGAGGCTCCACTGGGTACCAGAAGGAAACAACCCAGTGGATCCAGCGCAACCAGATCTCCTCGTGCAGGCTGCCTTGTAGGAAAGCAGTGCTGAATTCAAGAGAGTGAAGCTCGTAGTCGCGCTGAGCGGCTATGTGCAGCAGCACTCTTAGAGTGGTCATCTTCGGGGTGGGAGAGAAGGTCTGAAAGTAGTCAACTCCCTGCCGCTTACTGAAGCCTCGAGCCACGTAACGTGCCTTGAAAACAGGCGGAGAACCCGCCGGCCGCTTCACCCTGAAAATCCACATGCCACTAACGATGTTCGCCCCAGGTGGGGGAACCTCGTCGACGTAGGTGCCTGTGGACTTCTAGGATGCCATCTTTGCGTCCATGGCTGACTGCCACTGAGAGGAGTAAAGACCCTCGATCACCTCAGCGTACGATCGAGGAGTCTGGATGTTTGGTGCATCCGGGTCTCCCTCAAGGGCAATCAGCGTGGACACAAGATGAGGCAAAGCAACTGCAAAACACTTGATCCCCTTCTGCCTGTCCTCAAGGACGTCCATGCTAAGAGCAAACTCAATCCTGCCGGACGGAGGACACACAGACTCAGACTCAGCAACAAGACTAGCAGCATAGTCTAGAGGACAGCAAGCAACGAAGTCGACAAGCTCAGCAACTAGAGCAGGTGCAGCAAAGGACTCAAAGGAAGGGTCAGTGACAACAGTAGCCAGGAGACGCGTGACAGAAGGACTGGCAGCACGAAGAGAGTCAGACTCCGGGTCAGCAAGAACACGAAGAGAGGACTCTGGAGGAGATGGCAACGGGACACGCAGAGGAGCAGTGGAAGGACGCAGTGCCATCTGGTGTGTGCCTGGGACCGCAGGAGGACGCGGACGCGGCGCAGTACGACCACTAGTGCGAGCAGCACAAACAGGCGAGGCAGGACGAGACGCAGGCTCATGACGCTTAGCAAGACCTCCAGTAGGACCAGTGTAGGGAGAAGGAGCAAGCAGGGGGGAGGCGGGCTGTAGCTGTGACTACGACTCGACAGGCGGTGGACACTCTAAGGGAGGAGCAGGACCAATAGAAGGCGGAAGACCAAGAACCTGCTCAAGGAGCGGAACGAAGTACGGCCGCGGCCACGCAGCGCCTCC